CTTTAAAAAAAAAAAAACATTTGTGTTTTTGCTACTTTATGTTTCTGGTTGCCTGCACCTGTGAAAAAATGGCGACTCAAAAAAGGCACCAAAAATGCATTGGCGGTGTGTTTTTGATGCATTTTTTCCCTATTCATTTAATTGGAGAGATGCATTTTGTACACCAAAATGCAGCAAGCAGGACTTTCAAAACAATGCAACTGACCAGTGTGAAGGGTTCCATAGGATTTACCGGGATGCATTTTGCTTCTGCTTCTTTGAACTGCTAATCAAAAAAATTTTTGTAAAAAAGGGACCGTAAGCACTCACCAAACATGCACAAAAAAAATGCAACATGCAGGACTTTTAAAAATGCAACTGACCCATAGCTGACTGGTGTGAAGACATATTCCATAAGATCTAATGGTCGTGCGTTTATTTCTTCTATGTTTTGTAACGCAAAAACTAAAGAAATACTGATCAGTGTGAAGCAGCCTAACGGCTCTTTCAAACTAATAACCGCCAGCACTGTCAGTAGAAGCAGCACCAATCCCCCGGCACTGGTGTCAGGGAGCGCAGCTGCAACCCCCCCGGCACTGGTGTCAGGGAGCGCAGCTGCAACCCCCCCGGCACTGGTGTCAGGGAGCGCAGCTGCAACCCCCCCGGCACTGGTGTCAGTGGGAGCAAAAATAAACCGAACTACTGGCTTTTACAGACAGTTTTTATTATGCGTTTTAACCTCCCTATGCAATGGTGGTCAGTGGCAACGTTATCAACCCCCAACCCCCGCATTCCAGAAAAAGGAAATACATGACAGAAATGAATGATTTGATTGGTCTAGGAATAAATGCCTTTGCTGTGCGGAAGATATTCTTTCCGATGAGACACTATCTTTCAGAGCAGTATGAAGGACATTTATAAAACTCCCACTTGAAAGTTTGTTCACGTCACCAAAAATAATGAGTTCAGCTAAACTAAAAAAGTGGTCTCCAAACTGTGGCCCCTGAGCCGGGTCTGGCCCTTGGGGCAATTTACCTCCCACTGATGCAAGACACCATTGCTCCCACTGACGCCAACACCGGCGCACTATGGCTCCCACTGACGCCAACAACGGCGCACTATGGCTCCCACTGACGCCAACAACGCCACTGACAACGGCGCCCTATGGCTCCCACTGACGCCAACAACGGCGCCCTATGGCTCCCACTGACGCCAACAACGGCGCCCTATGGCTCCCACTGACGCCAACAACGGCGCCCTATGGCTCCCACTGACGCCAACAACGGCGCCCTATGGCTCCCACTGACGCCAACAACGGCGCCCTATGGCTCCCACTGACGCCAACAACGGCGCCCTATGGCTCCCACTGACGCCAACAACGGCGCCCTATGGCTCCCACTGACGCCAACAACGGCGCCCTATGGCTCCCACTGACGCCAACAACGGCGCCCTATGGCTCCCACTGACGCCAACAACGGCGCCCTATGGCTCCCACTGACGCCAACAACGGCGCCCTATGGCTCCCACTGACGCCAACAACGGCGCCCTATGGCTCCCACTGACGCCAACAACGGCGCCCTATGGCTCCCACTGACGCCAACCAACGGCGCCCTATGGCTCCCACTGACGCCAACAACGGCGCCCTATGGCTCCCACTGACGCCAACAACGGCGCCCTATGGCTCCCACTGACGCCAACATGGCTCCCACGGCGCCCTATGGCTCCCACTGACGCCAACAACGGGGTCCTATGGCTCCCACTGACGCCAACAACGGGGTCCTATGGCTCCCACTGACGCCAACAACGGGGTCCTATGGCTCCCACCGACAACCAACGGTGCACTAAAGCTCATACGGGTATAGCTCCCACCGACACCAACGGTGCACTATAGCTCCCACCGACACCAACAACGGTGCACTATAGCTCCCACTGACACCAACAACGGTGCACTATAGCTCCCACTGACACCAACAACGGTGCATTATAGCTCCCACTGACACCAACAATGGGGTCCTATTCCTCTCCTCTCCCTAATGCCAAAGATGCACATTTACTCCAGGTGATGCCAGGACAAATTGTTATTCCGAGTGGCCACAGTCCAGCACCCCTAAAGTTTGAAAGACAGTATGCTGGCCCTTTGTTTAGAAAGTCTAGAGACCCTTGCGCTAAATAACAGAAAAGTTTACAGCTTTGAGTTCTAAATAACAGACTCTCTAGAAATGGTCAATGCAGACAGCAGGAACTGCGCAGGTTCTCATCTAAGAAGCTGTATTTCTGTCATTGCATGGTTTGGCCAGCAGGTGGAAACGTTCTCCGTACTCTGACTATCCACAGTTAAAGGGCCTCCATCAGCCACCATTGTTGTAAGAAGTGAATGCATTTTTAACCCCTTGCCCTCCAGAGGATTAACCCCCCTTCCTGACCAGGCTATTGTTTGCGATACAGCGCTGCTTTACTTTAACTGACAATTGCGCTGTCATGCAATGCTGTACCCAGATGAAGTCTGTGTCCTTTTTCTCACAAATAGAGCTTTTCTTTCAGTGGCATTTGATCACCTGTGCGGTTTTTCTTTTTTTGCTCTATAAACAAAAAAAGATAAAGAAATTGGAAAAAAAAACAACTATTTTTGACTTTTTGCTATAAAACATATCCAGTAGAGAAAAAGTAAAAAAAAAAAAAAAAACCAAACAAAAACCAATACATGTGAATTATTTGGTTTAGGTGAAAGTTATAGTGTCTATAAATGGCGGTATAGATACTGGAATTTTTTTAATACTAGTAATGGTGGCAATCAGCAGGACTGCAGCGGGCATTCTGACAGTGGAGGAGAACTGACTGTCACTGACATCCCCAGAGACACAAATACAGTGATCAGTGCTAATAAAAAGCTGACACTGGGCAGGAAGGAGTTAACATGTGGGGCAACCAAAGGGTTAACTGTGTGCGGTGTTACTGTGTGTATTACTAGGGAAAGATACTGCTGTGCAAGAAATACACAGCAGCATGTTACTGCTGGCATGAGAGAGACCTGTGTTGTTTATCCCGGGTTCACATGCATGCAGCTCCGTATATCGCATGCGATTCGCACAGGAACTGCATTCCTGTGCAAATCACATGCGATTTGTGTGCGGTGCGATTGGAGCCATACCTTTTGTATGGCTCTATTCGCACCGCACCCAAAAAGTGCAGGACCCTTTTTTTGGGTCTGCAGTAGAATCGGATCGCATAGGTATACAAACACCTATGCGATCCAATTCTTCACATCGTACCGTGTTTTGCAGACTGCTTTCGGGGTGTTAACATAACATACACATCTGCAGCGGTTCACATGAACGGGGCGCGATTCTGATGCGGTGCAGAATTCGCACTGAAAACGCTGCAAGTTCCGCACCACATCAGTGTGAACCAGGGCTTACACACAGATATCTCCCCGGTCAGCGATACTCAGCGACTGCAGGGTGCTGGCAGGGAATTTCCAGCTGGGACCCGGTGATTGACATCTGTAGCCACCAATGGTGGCGTAAATAGGATGGTGCATGCACACGCCCCATACCCAGAAATGTAAAATATATATACACATATATACACACACATACACCACACATATATACACACACAAATGCACACACACATATATACACACACACACATATATACACACACACATATATACACACACACATATATACACACACACATATATACACACACACATATATACACACACACAATTTTGCACATCCCTGCCACCTTGTAGCAGTATTTCTGCTATAGGGCATTCAGGAAGTAGTTAAAAGAATAAACAGTTTAATGCAGGGCAGTAAACATAATGCACCACAAGCAGGAGCGGACTAACCATTTTGAAACTCGGGCACTGCCCGAGGGCCCAGGGTGAGTAGGGGGCCCCATGAGATGTCCCTGGTACCTTTTTCATAGGCTTTTTTGAGTTTGGGCAAGGACACAGGGGCCCCATGATCCCCTATTGTCCAGAGTCCCCATGAGTTGTCAGTCCGCCCCTGACCACAAGCTATGCTTTACATGCAATTTTTCTCCTTTGCTATTTTAAATGTCTTCCCTGCAAATATGAAATCAGGGACCCGTCATTGAAAAACGTATTAAAATTCATTTTGCATTTCAATGCATTAGCATTATCAATCCACCATTTAAAAGATGCAGCAAACAAGATAAAAAAAACAAAACGCACAACACACTAACTCCTTATATAATGTGGTGAGAACTGTTTTCCCTTAAACTTTGGGGCACAAACAAATGGGGGTTTTATCACAGTGATGTGAACGGGCCCTACAGAGGCACCCTGTAAATGGAGCACTGCCACTTACCTGTTCCACAGCCTGTACACAAGCTCAGGTGTGTTGGGATCCTCATCCAAACTCACCTGATCAAGCCCACCAGGGTGTTATCACCTTTAATGGGCCAATCATCTACAGGCAGGGCATATTGCCCCCGCATCCTCATGTATATTCATGCAGGGATACCTCGGCTGCTTATGGTTGGCCCGGTACAGATGGCTGCTTTCTGGTGGTCTTGACCAAGTGAGTGTAGATGAAGATCCCAACACACCTGAGCTCATCACTGACAGCTATCAATCTCATAGGATTGCTCCAACTGTGTGCAACTGATCTCTGAAAAAAGCTCCAACTTGGCCTCGTAGGTTATGCAGGCCATAGACGGGGAGAAAAACGGCCGATTTTTCTTTAAAAAAATGAAAAATCGGTCGTTCAAGCGGCCGACGTTACCAGCAATGGTAAAAAAAAAAATCGGCCGATTTTCATCCCGTCTACAGCCGGCAAAAAGTGTCCCTGCAGAGAGCTCCGCTATTTCTTTGACAGTTCTTTGACATTTATAGCGGTTGCAACAATGTATCTATTTGTATCCATTTAGAATACAGATGTTTTTATTCGGAAACAAATAGATACAATGTTGCAACCGCTGTAAATGTCAAGGAACTGTCAAAGAAATAGCGGAGCTCTCTGCAGGGACACTTTTTGCCGGACTGGAATTCCTCTTATTTTTCATCCTCTTCTTCTTCTTCCTCTTCTTCTTCTTCATCCTCTTCTTCCTCTTCTTCCTCTTCTTCTTCTTCTTCATCATCATCCTCTTCTTCTTCATCCTCTTCTTCATCCTCTTCTTCTTTCTTCTTCTCTTCTTCATCCTCTTCTTCATCCTCTTCTTCTTCTTCATCCTCTTCCTCTTCTTCTTTTTCTTCTTTTTGCCTTCCTCTTGCAGGTCACTGCTCATGCGCAGATTTTATGATCGGTAAAAAAATCGGCCGATTTGCCCATCATTGCCGCGAAAATCGGCCGATCGGCAAAATCGGCCGATTTTTTTTCCAACTTTACCGATAAATAAAATCTGCCAAAATACCGAAAAACGGCCGAACAAATAGCCCACTAACAATCTGAAAATCGGCCGATTTTATTTTCGGCCAAAAAAATCGGCCGATTTTGGACCCATCTATGGTCCCCATTAGTTACCCATTCACATGTTCACGTTGCTGCAATGCATGAACTACGGTGCCATTCATTTTGAATGAATGGCACACAATGCACTATTACAGTAGCAGGTAACGTACCCACCTTGTAGCTCACCATAACACACATACAGTACATTGTGATCCCCTGCATAAAAATAAAGTCAGGTCTGGATTCTAGTACATTAACCCCTTACCTACAGGGCACTTCTGTCTCCTTCCTGCCCAGGCCAATTTTCAACTTTCAGCGCTATCGCACTTTGAATGACAATTGAGCGGTCATGCAACACTGTACCCATATGAAATTTTTATTATTATTATTATACAGTATTTATAAAGCGCCAATAGTTCGCTCAGCGCTGTACATTACAAAGGGGGACAGAACATGTGACAGAACAATAACAATACAATGCAAAACATGAGGGGATTGAGGGCCCTGCTCTTTCGAGCTTACAATCTAGGAGGGAGGGGATGGTGGTACAGGAGGAGATAGCTGTAAGGGATGGAGTGGTAGGAAGAGTGGAGGAGATCGCAAGTTAGCAGGGGGTGGGGTAGGCTTCCCTGAAGAGATGGGTTTTCAGGGTGCGCCTAAAGGAGAGGAGAGTAGGTGATAATCTGATGGGTTGGGGCAGGGAGTTCCAGAGGATGGGTGACACCCTGGAGAAGTCCTGGAGGCGGGCATGGGAGGAGGAGACCAGGGAACTAGAGAGAAGGAGGTCTTGTGAGGAGCGGAATGTGCGTGCTGGGTGGTACTTGGATATTAGGTCGGTGATGTACATTTTTAGGTCGGTGATTTTTATCATTTTTTTCACACAAATAGAGATTTCTTTTAGTGGTATTTACTCGCTGCTGGGTGTTTTATTTTTTTGCGCTATAAACAAAAAAAGAGCAAAAATTTTGAAAAAAAAAGGGTTTTTTTGCTTCTATTATACAATTTTGCAAACAGATAATTTTTCTCCTTCACTGATGTGCATTGATGAGGATGCACTGATAAGCAGCACTGATGGGCACTACTAGGTGGCACTCATGAGGTGCACGAATAGGCGGCACTGATGGTCACTGATAGGTGTCACTGTTGAGCTGGCACTGCTGGGCACTGACTGGCAGCACTGCTGGGCACTAATGGGTGGCACTGACTGCTGGGCACTGACTGGCAGCACTGCTGGGCACTAATGGGTGGCACTGACGGGCAGCACTGATGGGCACTAATGGGTGGCACTGACTGCTGGGCACTGACTGGCGGCACTACTGGGCTGCTCTGATGAGCACAGGTGGGTGGCACTGATGTGCGCCACTGCTGGGCACTTATGGGCAGCACTGGTGGGTGGCACTGCTGGGCACCAATCATCAGGGCACTAATCATCAGTGCCCCAGATGATCGGTGCCGGTCCCTCCTCTGACAACTGCCGGTTCTCGGCAGTACTTTCCTCACACTGTGACAGCGTGAGGAAAGTGCACCCGATAACCGGCAATTGCATTTCCCAGTACTCATTGGACACGGCTGATCACTTGGTAAAAGTCCACTGTGATTGGCCTTTTACCATATCACGTGATCAGCTGTGACCACAGGACACAGTAATCATGGAGATCGCCTGGTGCGCGACCCCAGGGGCGTGCAGGAGAGCGTGTTCTGGGAGGACGTGATATGACATCCACTCAGAACTGGCCGGCCGCAGTGCAGCCGTCATTCGGCTATCTGCAGTTGGCAAGAGGTTAGAAGCATAGTCCACCTTTAGCAAAAATTTAGGAAATGCATCCATGCTATGCAGGCCATAGATGGGTCGAAAATTGGCCGATGTTTCGGCCAAAAAAAAAAAAAAACGGCCGATTTTCGCACCGTTAATGGGTTAATTGGTCGACCGTTTTTCTGGATTTTGGCACATTTTTTTTATCGGTAAAGTTGGAAAAAATCGGCCGATTTTGCTGATCGGCCGATTTTCGCAGCAATGATGGGCAAATCAGCCGATCTTTTTACCAATAAAAAAAATCTGCGCATGAGCCGTGACCTGCAAGAAAAAGATGAAGAAGAAAAAGGAGAAGAAGAAGAAGAAATAGTAGAAGAAGAAAAAGAAGAAGAGGAAGGAAAAGGAGAAGAAGAAAAAGAATTTCAGTCTGCTATTATATTTGACATGAAAAAGTATTGCGGTTGCAACAATGTATCTATTTGTATCCAAATAAAACCATCTGTATCAGAAACAGATACAAATGGATACAATGTTGCACCTGCTATACTTTTTAATGTCAAATATAATAGCAGAGCTCTCTCCAGGGACAGAAGTAATTAAATGCCAGCCATAGACCGGACGAAAATGAGCCGATTTTTTTACCGTTGGTGGTAACGTCGGCCTATTGAACGACCGATTTTCTTTTTTTAACCTCCCTAGCGGTCCGATTATGTCCATATTTCTGTGCTCAAAGCGGTACATTTTTTTGCATTTAAATATGTATTTTTTTTATTGCAGGCCTGTAATTTTTAGGAATAACTCACTGAAATCTGTCCGAACAAGAGTCTAGTAAACATCCCGGGTATGTTACAATTTGAAATATGAAATCATAAATTATAATTTAATAAATAATCATAAAAAATAATAATATAATAATAATAAATTTAATTCAATAATATAATCAAACCAAAAACACTGAAATTTGAAATATAGCGCCAAATTCGCACATCGCTGAGCAAAGTTGCAGAATCGTTTTCAGTGTCTGATGATGAATTTCCCCCACTAATTATTATCACTCAATTCTGCAAGTGGTTCTGATTTACTATCGCTGTTCTCTAGCCGGTCTAAAACCGCTTTTGACCTAAAGGGACGCTTTTTGGACGCCATGGACGTTTCTCAGTTTCCAGGCAGAAAGAACAGTAAAAATGCAGGCAGGGCACAGGACAAAGCACTCGGGACAAAATGTATGTGAAATGGTTTGATACAGTAATGGAATACTATGTGATTTTAGTGATTTTAGTGAATGTCACTTTTTGTCATTTTCAAATTTCCCGCCGTTCCGTCCCCCGTACGTCCCGACGTCGCAGGGAACGGAACCCGGAAGACAGATGCCGACATCAGCCGGAGGACATTACAGGGGACACTGCAGGAGGGACATCGCGGGAGCGCAGGACAAGGTAAGTGAAGAAGAGATCCCGGAGCAACGCTGCAGTGTATTCCCGAGTGTAGCTCGGGGTTACCGTTTGTGGTGCTGAAACTTTTCCCCGAGCTACACTCAGGAATACTGCCAGGGAGGTTAACCCCTTGCCCTCCAGAAGATTTACCCACCTTCCTGACCAGGTAATTTTTTGCAATACGGTGCTGCATTACTTCAACTGACCATTGCAACGTTGTACATAAATTAAATTTATGTCCTTCTTATGAGTTCGTGGGCTGCGGTTGCTTGAATGGATACATATATATATTTTACATTCATATCAGTCAATATGAGGACAAACCTATATAATCAAGACCCTCTCCTCTAATCCTCGCTGGCTCTTCTCCGCCTTCAACTCTCTACTCTCTCCGCCCCCACCTCAATCCAGCACCTCACTCACCACCCTTGAGATTGCCAATCACTTCAAAAAACAAGATTGACGCAATTCGCAGGGACATCACCGCTGCTCAAACTTCCTCCCCACCCATCCCCTCTCACACAACAACCCCCTCATCACCCCTCTCCCTCGGCCTCACCACTGTTCAGACCTCCACCTCACCTAACATTCCTCACACTGAAGCCCCCTCAACACTCCACTCCTTTGAGGAGGTCACCAAAATCTTCTCTGAAGCCCGTCCCACCACCTGCCCCCTCAACCCTGTCCCCTCACAACTCCTACGACCTCCCTCCTCCTCCATCCTACTCTTCCTCACCTACATTTTTAATCTCTCCCTCTCTTCTGGCACATTCCCCTCCCCTCTGAAGTACGTGCACATCACCCCCCATACTTACAAAGCCCTCCCTGGACCCCACTGACCCGAACAACCTTAGACCCATCTCCCTGCTCCCATTTACATCTAAACTCCTCAAGCGCTTAGTCTACAATCGCCTAAGCTCCCACCTCAACAACAACAACCTCCTCGATCCACTACAGTCCGGCTTACGTCCCCTACACTCCACTGAAACCGCCTTAATCAAACTCTCCAACGACCTGCTAACCACCAAAGCTAATGGCCACTATTCAGTGCTCCTACTCCTCAACCTCTCCGGAGCTTTTGACACAGTCGACCACCCCCCTCCTCCTCAAAAAACTACACTCCCTCGGCCTCAGAGATTCCTCTCTCTTCTGGCTCTCTTCCTATCACAACCTTCCTTCAGCGTTACCTATAACGCTACCACCTCCCCCTCACTCCCCCTCTCTGTTGGGGTCCCTCAAGGCTCTGTCCTCGGGCCCCTTCTCTTCTCCATCTACACCTCCTCCCTTGGCCAACTCATACACTCTCACGGCATCAACTACCACCTCTATGCCGACGACACGCAAATCTATCTCTCGACCCCTTGCCTCACCCCCTCAGTCTCTGCCTGAATCACAAACCTACTGAACGACATATCAGATTGGATGTCGATCCACTTCCTTAAACCGAACCTCTCCAAAACTGAGCTCCTCATCTTCCCCCCAGCCCGTGCACCCCCCCCCCCCCCGACTTCTCCATCACGTCCAACAATGCCACCATCAGGCCCGCCCCACAAGCCAGAGTACTAGGTGTCATACTTGACTTTAATCTATCCTTCCAGTGCCCAAGTCCAATCACTAACAAACTCATGCAGACTCCACCTCCACAACATCGCCACAATCCGCACGTTCCTAACCCCAGAAACCACTAAACAGCTCATCCACTCCCTCATCATATCACGACTCGATTACTGCAACTCCCTCCTCACTGGCCTACCTCGCCACAAGCTATCCCCGCTTCAGTCGATCCTGAATACGGCATCCAGACTCATCCACCTTACCAACCGCTCCGTTTCCGCCACCCCCCTCTGCCAATCCCTCCACTGGCTTCCGATTGCCCAATGGATCAAATTCAAAATCCTAACGCTGACGTACAAAGCTGTCCATCATACTGCCCCAAACTACATCACCGACCTAATATCCAAGTACCACCCAACATGCACACTCCGCTCCTCACAAGACCTCCTTCTCTCTAGTTCCCTAGTCTCCTCCCATGCCCACCTCCAGGACTTCTCCAGGGCGTCACCCATCCTCTGGAACTCCCTACCCCAATCCATCAGACTATCACCTACTCTCCTCTCTTCTCCTTTAGGTGCATCCTGAAAACCCACCTCTTCAGGGAAGCCTACCCCACCCCCTGCTAATTCCTGACCTCCTCCACTCTTCCTACCACTCCATCCCCCACAGCTATCTCCTCCTGTGCCACCATCCCCTCCCTCCTAGATTGTAAGCTCCAAGGAGCAGGGCCCTCGAACCCCTCGTGTATCGCATTGTATTGTTATTGTACTGTCGCATGTTCTGTCTCCCATTGTAATGTACAGCGCTGAGCGAACTGTTGGCGCTTTATAAATACTGTATAATAATAATCCATTCAATTTACATCAATTGGCATAGACCCTTATGTTGCATGGCTCTTGGAAAATCTATAGGAGATTGTACAATCCAAATGACTGTAATATTCAAATCGCTTCTTTATGGTCCAGTGTGTAATGACAAAAGAAAAGTCCCAAATGACGATTCAACCCAATGAAAGTCTTCTGAAAAGTGAAGTTATGCTTTGTATCCATTAGGGGGCAGCCAATCCCTGTAAACTCTTTTCCCAGTCTCTGTTCTGTCTGATGGAAGCTTTCACAATGTGTCCAAAGCCTTGTAGTCAGTATTGGTCATAGAGAGCCTGACCTGTGAGTCAGAGAGTGAGAGCATTACTAGGAACCCCCGCCAGTTCTGGCCTGTGTGACGCTGAAATCCCTTTTGTTAGGTCAGGACATTCCTATATAAAAATGAACAAAAAGATTTTATTTCTTTTTAAAAAATATGAAACATGCTTTTCTTTCATTTTTATTTTTGGATATGATTAATATTCAGGTTTCCTTGTAATACAAACAATGTATTTTATATTGTCGCTGGTACATAGCAGAGACATAGAGGATTGCCCCCCCCAGGTTTAGTAAATTAAAACTTTGTACAGTATTATTATTATTATACAGTATTTATATAGCGCCAGAAAGGTTTTCTCAGCGCTGTACATTATAGTACATGAGACAATACAGTAACAATACAATACACAAGGTGTTCGAGGGCCCTGCTCTTTCGAGCTTACAATCTAGGAGGGAGGGGATAGTGGCACAGGAGGAAGTGGCTGTGGGGGATGGAGTGGTAGGAGGAGTGGAGGAGATCGGCAGTTAGGTGAGGGTGGGGTAGGCTTCCCTGAAGAGATGGGTTTTCAGGGTGCGCCTAAAGGTAAGGAGGGTAGGTGACAGTCTGATGGATTGGGGTAGTGAGTTCCAGAGGATGGGGGACGTCCTGGAGAAGTCCTGCAGTCGGGTGTGGGAGGTGGAGACCAGGGAGCTAGAAAGTAGGAGGTCTTGTGAGGAGCGAAGATTACGGTTAGGGTGGTATTTGGGTATCAGGTCGGTGAGGTAGTTGGGGGCAGCGTTATGAATGGCTTTGTATGTCAGTGTTAGTAGTTTGAATTTGATGTGTCGGGCAATCGGGAGCCAGTGGAGGGAATGACAGAGGGGGGTGGCAGAAGCGGAGCGGTTGGTAAGGTGGATGAGTTTGGCCGCTGAGTTCAGTAGTCCTGGCGTGAGATAATGAGGGAGTGAACGAGTTGTTTAGTAGTGTTTGGGGTTAGGAACGGACGTATTTTGGAGATGTTGCGGAGATGGAGCCTGCGTGAGCTTGCTAGCGATTGGACATGGGGTTGGAAGGACAGGTTTGAATCTAGAGTGACACCTAGGACTTTGGCTTGCGGGGTGGGACTGATGGTGGCGTTGTTGGTCGTGATGGAGAGGGGCGCGGGCTGGGGGGAAAATTAGGAGCTCGGTTTTTGAAAGGTTTAGTTTGAGGA